TTTTGCTGTGCAGAAGCTTTTTAGTTTGATATCATCCCATTTGTTTATTTTTCCTTTGATTGCCCGTGCTTTTGGGGTCGTATTCATGAAGTCTGTGTCCAGTCCTATTTGCTGAAGTTTTTCTCCTATGTTTTCTTTAATAAGTTTTATTGTTTCAGGGTGTATATTTGGAGGTTTTACTTTTAAGTAGAACACTCAAATATTTGCTTATGGGGGATAGGGACTTAAATTTAAGGCTAGGAATTTTATCTTAAATTAGAAGTTTCTTACTAAAGAATGGCCTTTCTAAAGCTTTCATAGAAAGGAAAATAGGAAATAATTTTAGCAATCACAATGACCTTATGTCTCTGTTTACCACTAGTATTGCCCTAAAACTTCAGAATTTCTCCCTTTTTTATATAGCTGTCAAATGTAGAGCATTCTTAATATAATCTCCATGTCATCAGAAGAGCAAAGAAAAATTGCAGAAACCTAGGGAGAGGAAAGCTATCCTTTCCCACTTATGTGTTCACATATTAAAACTACTGTAGTGCTTTTATTGGATATTTTTTGGGTTTTGGGGGGATATTTTTTAATAGAAAAGGGAATATATACTCATGGTAAAAAGTTAAAATAGTACAAAAGAGTAGCTCTTTTTCTCATCTCACATTTTCAGTTTTCTTCCCTAGAAGCTACCACTGTTACTAGCATGCACTTATCTTTCCAGAAAGTCTTTGCCTTTACAAGCACATCATATGGGCAGAATTGTGCAATTGCTAATAGTTGGCAATTTTGACACCCAAAATGGCAATTTCATATGGTTAAACCTGACATATAAGCTACTTCCTGTATGGTAGCATACATATACACTGTTAAATAATTTTGCTTTGCCACTTAATAGTATGTAGGAGTTCATTCCAGGTCACTATAGATCTACTTCATTTTTTTCTTTTTTTTCATGACTGTATAGTAGGAATTTAATTGACGAGTACTTGGTTTTATAGTCTTTTTATGTTTGCGACAGTGCTGCAGTGAACAAACTGCTTAGGTATACTTGCAAAGATGTACCACTATGCTTTGAGGGTGACTTCCTGGAAGTGCAAGTGTATACTTATTTTAAATTTGAGTAGATATTGAAGTTGTCAGAGATTTTATAATTTATACTTCCCTGAAAATATTTGAATGCCTGTATTCTTAACATTGCTGCAGATATTGTTTTCAGGGTTTTGTGTTTTTTTTTTCTGTTCTGATAGATAACAAATGGATTATGGGATTTTTAAATTTTCATTTCTTTAAGTACGAATGAGTTTGTACATTATTATATTTTCAGAAGCCAATTTAAAAAATGGACTCTATATTTATGAATTTTGTCCATTTTTCATTGGATTGTCTTTTTATTAATGATATGTAGGATATATTAAGGGAGTCAGCCTTTGTCATATGTGTTGCATATCCTTCCCCACCTTAGTAATTTGTCTATCGAATTAGTTTATAGTAATCTTTTTTCTACCAAAAATGTTTAATTTTTATTTAGTCAAATGTATCACTCTTCTTTTGTGGCTTTTAGGTTTTAGTTTTAGGTTTTTCTGGGGGGTTGTTTTGGGTTTTTTTGGCTGCTGTCTGGATTGGGGATCTGAACCCTTGACATTGGTGTTATCAGCACCACACTCTTACCAAATGAGCTAACTGGCTAGCCCAGCATTTAGGTTTTAGAAAGGACTTACTTAGAAAGTCCTTCCCCCATTGCAAGATTGGAAAGATATACATATTTTCTTACAGGATGTTTATAGCTTTTTAAAAATACATTTTTATTTTTTAGAGCAATTTTAGGTTCATAGCAAAATTGAGTGGAGGGTGTGGAGATTTCCTATGAATCCCCACACATACATAACCTCCTTCATTATCAACATCCCCCACCAGAGTGGTACATTTGTTATAATTGATGAAACTGTGTTGATACATCATTATCACCCAAACTCCATAGTTTATATTAAGGTTCAATTTTGGTGTTGTTTATTCTGTCAGTTTAGGCAAATGTATACTGGTATGTATCCATCATTAGAGTACACAGAATATT